TTTACAGCTTATAGAGAAGATAGTTGTATAACAAACAATTTGTTTATGAACAAAATCACTATTACATTAAACTATATTTACCACCCTTTCCATGGCTCTAAAATTTGCACAATTTGCAGAATTTTGATATTTTTACTCATTAAAGCACAGTTTTCATTAAACTTCAATGCAGATTTTTTTTCTTTAATAAAAATTTAGAAATCAGGTTCGTAACAAGAATGCCGTCATCAGTCTGCGAAACAAAAAACCGAAATGGCATTTTACTCCCTACATGCTATCTCGAAATTACATTGAAAACTTCGACCGTTAAGCAAATGAATAAAACAAGTAAATATGAATAATTAAAAATGGAATTGTTGTAAAAACAAATAATAACAATTGCAATTCCTCAATAATTGCCTAAATAATTCATTGCTATACTTTTGTTTAACAATTAATATATTTTCAGAAAAAAAAAATTACGAAATATTTTATTAAATCAGAGATGCGTAATTCAATTAAAATCACTTGTATATGCTTATTTTATTGCAAAGCATCTTTAATTGACCCTGATTTTATTATTTAAGTATTCTGATCTCAAATTACTACATTTTTTATTTTCTTGGGAAAATTGTGTCATTTGTGCCCATAGAAATTTGTAGGAGTGATCCTTTGTAGGACAATTTTATTTTATTTTATAACCATCGTTGAACAATCAACACAATTTAGGGTTTACGGTTGCTATTGTTCAACTCTGTAGCCTTGAAATTTTGAACCGATCCAGAAGATAAGGGAACTCCTTTCTCATGTATTCTGAGAAAGTTTGCCTTCGCGGAGGAATTTTTGATGTAACTAACTAGCATTTGAGTTACATGGAGAGGTAAACCACGGAAACTTTCCACATTTAGCGTGACTGAAAGGGGACTCTAACCCATGATCCGTATACCACTGTGGATATTTTACGTCAGCACTGTGGTCAATGCGAGCCGGGTGCGGAATTCGACTCGACCAGCTGTCGCTGGGATCGAACCCGGGTGACCTCATTGGGAGGCTAGTGATTTATTCCCTGAGCCACCGCGCCTCTTGTAAGGTGACTTGTTGTTTTTATAAGATCGAAGGAATTAAATATTCCATCAAACGCATTATTAGACTTTTTCGTGTACACACTGAGTAAAAATTACCACCTAAACTACCAAAAAATTATGAAATTTTCCGTGTTTCGGGCTGCATGGGAACACCAAAGAGCTCGGTGATTAAAACCATAATACGCATTTTCAGACAAAAATAAATATTCACTTAGTGCAATGAAATTGAAAAAAAAATATTTTTCTTAAAATTCTTAAAACTTCTTACTGTATATTTTCAATGATTTATATTTTTTAAAAATTCATGACTACAAAATATATAGTCTTTGAGCTGTAATGTCATGAACATAAGTTTTGGCATTGGATGAAAATAAGTTTTAAAACTTATAGTTTGAAAACACATTTGAGTAAAATAAATTTTGCTGAGACATATTTACTACGTTTACTCACCATATGTTTAAAAACAATTGTCGATTTCATGATTTTAAGGGAAAAAAACTTTTATTAGTTATCTGATTCCAGTTAACATCTTTTTATTGTTCTCTAAGCAAACGATAGTGCAAAACAGCCTTTGTAATTAACTAATTTAATCAAGCAATTTCGAAATTGCTTTGCAAACATAGCATTTCTTTATTGCAAAAAATATTTATGCCGATACTAATTTTCATGCTCCAATTCACTTCTTTGTAAATATTACCCAAAACGTTAACTGTTTTACGGTTGTGCTTCTAAAAAAATATTATTCGTTTATTACAATTTAAGCTACAAATCTAAGTCCTAGTCTTGGTAATCTAATTACCTAATTTAGTTATCAATACGAGAATATAAAAATAGCTAAGGTTTGTTTTAAGAGCAATAATTTATAAGCTAGAGTATTGTATACGCGTGTTGTAAGTACAAAAGATGAATTACGGCACAGTAATAACGCCATTTTTCACTAAAGGGATTAAATTAACCAAAGAATACATTCTTTTGGCGCATTTCCAAACCCATTTTTTTTCTTAACTCTAGCAGTATATTTTAATGTATTATTTAATTCGTACGTGACAAATATTTCTTAAGAGAAACATGTGGATTAGGATGGAAAGTGACTTTTATAGCAAAGTAAATTATTTTTGCGGTTTCGTTTCTCAAGTAAAAATAAAATGGCTTGAAACATTTTAAATTTGCGCTTTGGCATATAGTAATAATATATTTTATTCATGTTTCCAGAAATAATTGCTTTATGTTTCAAAACAAAGATAATGTTGCTGTAAATTCTCTTAATAAATTTATATGCTTGTTTTCAGTTTTGAAAAGCCTTCTAGAGAGAAACAAAACAGAATATTATTTTAATTTTTTGAAAGCTGTTATTTTAAATTTAGGTAAATAATAAAAGCTTATGTAAGATTTATAAGCGATTTTAAATGCTAATAAAATTTAAATATTCAAATTCAATAGATAATCCATCCTCTTTTGCATAATAACTAATTATAACTTTTACTTGTAATATGTATAAAACACAATTGTTATTCGGAGGCAACAACATTTTATGTTTATTAATTGTGGACTCAGACTGTAAAGACACTTTACGTTCAAAATTGTGAACTATTAAATTAGTTGAATTTGTATTCATTTAAAATTTCCGTAATTAAAAGATACACCAATAGACAATCAATGCTTGTTTACATAATAGTTGATTAAATTTTTTGTGAAATGCATTTAATATGCATAAAGTTCAATTGTTAATTTGAGCTATTAAACTTATTTATATTCAATTTTATTCAAAGATTAAAAGAACAAGAGTGAATGTTTATGAAATAGGGACTCATACCAAATTTTAATGTGTTCAATTTATTCAATGTTTTTTATATTTATTTAAAATTACTATTGTTAGCATTATTATAAATATTTTAAAATTGTGATTTGGTGCATAAATAATAATAAATACCATTTATGTTTTCATAAAATTTTTTGTTTGAAAACAAGAATAATTTTGCAGTTCTTGCTAAATTTAAATAATTGGCTTAAAAAAAGGCTTTTAGAAATGAGACAATAATAAAATATATAAAATATTACTTTATATCAGAAATTCATTACATAAAAAGGAAACTAATAAATTATTCAAAGACGTAATTAACCAGATTGTATGTAAGTTTTAAGAGTAATTTTAGATGTAAACAGAACTCTATTGTTCAGTTTAAGCATAAATAAAATCGAAAGAAAATGTATCTTATTTTGATTTTTTAAATTATGAGTATCGTAAAATATGTAAAATATTTAAATTTGAGCTAATAAATAGCTTTTTGTTCAATGCGTATAAAATATAAAGAAAACATTTCGCCGGTTTATTAAGAGAATATTCTTTGTATATTTTAATATTTAATTCCTTTGATAAAATTAAATAAGGAAAAGGTGATGACAAAACGCCTTTTTTTTCCTTTATTAAAGAAGTATTAAAGAAAAAATTGTGTTCTTCCTTTGAACAAATATGCATTAAAGTAAATCTTTGTAAAATTCCTAAGATATTTAATACTTCAAGTCCCATTAATAAATAATTTCTGAGACCTAGATTTTAAATGATGAAACAATGAAGAATAAGAAAGTTAGAAGTTTTTAACATATATTTTTATTTTAAAATTAGAATTATGTTGTCTTTGTACTGAAATGATAATTAATGCACGTGAAAATGAAGGATGTTAATCCACATTAAAAAATCATGCAATGATGAAAAAATGGATTCTTAATTTGTTTCCCTCTCTACAGTAGAATATCATCAATTCTTGTGAGCAAAATTAAATCGAGTATTGTTAGCACCATACTCTTAGATTGCAGTTTTAGTAAGCACTAGGTGGTTTAGCCCCTTGCTCTCTATACACGTCAACCTACGGAACTGCTTTTCCTGCTGGTCAGCATCTCTTTGTGCTAAAGTAGCAAAGTAGCGGTTTTCATTTTATAAACAACTTGTACGCTTTTTTTTGGCATTATAATTATGAAAACTTTGTTCAAGACACTATATGCATATGCGCATCATTCTTAGTTTAATGTGCAAAAATTAAATTGATGTATTTTACTAAATCGAGTTATCCTAAACCATTATATGTTATTTATATGCTTTATATACTAATGTATATGTTATTTATCCAGAACCTTTATGAGATTATCAGATAAGATTATTATTAGATATCACGATCTTTCGCATTTTGAATTTAATCTTCAAATCAGTACTTAGAAGGGCTAACATTCGGGGTATTGGAAATACTATTAAAAAGTTTTCATAATTATCAAGTCAAGACAGAATTTCATGAACATAGGTTTCACTCTTTTAAATGAAATGAAGGTAGATTCTCTTAATGAATATGCTAGTTTAATACAGAAATGTTAAACTTATGTTTTGAGTACAATTTTTGCTGAGTATCAAAGTTTTATTTTTGTAAATATCAACATCTGAAAGTTGATTGAAAGATAATTGTATTTACCTGAAGGATAGTTTTATTTATCATAAAGATATTTTTATTTATTATCATCTTTTTAAACTTTTTAAAACATTTTAGTTCCAAAATATTCTATATTTTTATTCATTGTTCATAGTAAAAAAACGAAGATTGACTTCAGTACAAAGTTTTCATTATTTTTAACGGTTGTGTTTCACGAAAAACGATGTTTATGCTCTAATTAAGTATTGGTTTAAGAACTGTTTGCTACCAAAGCTGAGTATTATGAACAATATGCTTTTTTTATACCAAAATTAAGTCACTCATTCAATGTATTTTTGTTTTGATTTTGAAAATATGTTTTTTTAAATAATTTTAATTCAAATAATTTATGAATGAGTTACCAAATAATAATTAATGAAATCATGAAGGAAATATTTATAGTTTAAATTATATTTTTACATTAAAAATGTAAGACAATGGCAAAAAGCATATAATTGACGAATTGTTTTACTTTTTACAGATCTCGCTTTCGCTTTCAGAGGTCCATCATTCGTTAAAGAGCCCCCGAACAGGGTTGTTTTTCATAATTCATCTGGAGCTATCATTCCGTGCCTTGCAACTGGACTACCACAGGCATCAGTGTTTTGGACAAAAAGTGATTGGTCAAAATTGGCCAATATTCCTGGATTGAGACATTCACGGCAAGATGGCTCACTCGTATTTCAACCTTTCAGGGCTGAGGAATATAGACAAGATATACATGGGGCTGTATACAGATGTGTTGCATCAAATAGTTTTGGTACTATTGGTTCACCAGAAGTACACGTAAGAGGAGGTAAGTAAATATTTTATAAAAAATGGCACTATATGTTATATTACATGTTTGTCGAATTGCTTATACTGTTTAGTATTCAATAGAGCAGTTTTCATCAATACTTTTTCTGATTTGTCCCTCACTGAAAATCAACGACTTTTGAAGGACTTTGAAGTACAATAATTACAATTGTACAACAATGTTCAACGAAGTACAGTAAAACTTTGACTTAAAAGTCATACCATCATCAACTTTATTACAGGATAATTTTAATATTTGACATCAATAATTTTTCTGAATTACTTTTCATTGAACATCAAAGACCTTATAATTTTAAAATGACTTAAATGGTGTAATTCTTACCAGAATTGCATGAATTAGGAGTATAATATAATACTAGGACATTGAGTGTTATTGAATAAAATTTGTGTTATCCTAATTAAAGCAAAAAAAATAAATCGTTTTAATGAAATAATATTTGTTTCGTTTACTGTGTTTAAAATAATCCTTGTTTAGAATGAAATAAAATGCATACTGTCATAAAAATGTATAAAACCCGGATTGAAAGAAAGTAAATACTGGAGAATTAGAAATTACGAAATTTTGTAGCTTTTAAATTCCGTCTTATATAATAGGAGTGGAAATAATAGAATTTTGTATTTAAATTAAAAACAAACGAACGAAAAAAACTTAAATTGAAAAGTAAAGAAAAAAATTAAGTGAAAAACAAACTAAGACATTAAGCATATAATTTTTAAATTTGCAATAAAATTGCTGGATCATGCGTGGAAAGAAAAGCGTGCTTCAGTTGCACAATTAATGAGATTAAAATAGATTTTATAAGTAATTGACACGTTTTTCTATGTTAAAGGTTACTGTTACAACTATTAAAAATAGTCTAAATGGTTCAAATTAAAGATAAGTAAAGAACCTTCTGTGAATCAAATTTTTAATCTTACGAGGCAAAATAAAATTTATTTTCTATAAAACGAAAATTTGCAATTTTTAAATTTCTTCAAACTTAATAAAGAAGAAACAGTATAATAGGATTTTTAATAGGAAACTCGAAAGTTATGAAAAAAGTGTTTAAATGTAAATAAACTCAATGAGAAATATATTCATTTAATACAATTCGTTAAATACGTTATATAAAAAAAAATCAATGACGTTTATTCCTCAATACAAATATCTCTCATTATTTTTAAATAATGAAATGTTTGCCAATTTAGAAGTTTCGTTGATTAATCAGTACTTTTTTTTTCTTCAAAAGAACGATTGTATCGTGAATAATCTCTTTGTCGTCGCTTAAAATAAAATTGATTTAGAATGGAAAACAAATTTAAATATTTTGAATTACAACAGAGGAAAAATGTCAAAATATTTTATGTATTTAGATTGAATACGGAATATTTCATTTAGTTTCTGCCAGTGATTAAATCACATCAGAAAGTATTAGCAATATGTTTCGAAGATGATTTGAAATAGATGGTTTATCTTTGCGCAGTGACACAAAATACACACAAAAAAAAACTGAAAGAAGGATGACCAATTTGTGTATTCCCAATGGCTTTTCAAACCACATTCAGTTTTCTTACGTAAAATCCAAATATCTTTGGTCATCAACATAAAATGTACAAATAAGTTATTATAATTTGATAACGTTTTAAATATATTTGTATAGGGGTTGACAAAATAATGGAAGCACTTCCATATTTATAAATTTTCTCATATTTCTTCAGAAATACTTAGCGAAGTATTTTATAACGAAATAGTTATGAAATATTAATTATAATGCGTTTAGAGACTCGAAGGACCTACAATAAATTAGAAATGGAAAATATTGTTTTTTTAAACTCCTTTTATAAAAATGTAGCCATGGATCCATAACACGTGAGAGTTATTTTGGCTATCATATTAAAATAATACACAAAATTTCGTACGAATAGCTTGCATACTTATGGAGATATAGACATTTTTATAGAAACCAGTTTTTTTGTCCTGCGTTTTCTTGCTATAACTTTAAAAATAATCAATAAAATAGAAAAAAAATTTTAGAGCAATTTAAAATTATTTACAAAATTATTGCCTTGAAAGTTGATAAAAATCCATTTAAAACTGCTCAAAATATAAGCAATTAAGCCAGTTCCTTAAAATTCGCATGCACGGGAGTAAATTTCTTAATTTTCTAGTTAATCGTATTTAACCATTAAGGAAAGAAGTCCAATTTGAATACCTTTAAAAATTTAAAGTTTCAAGTAATTTTCAAAGTAGTTTTTGCACTTCTTAAAAGAAAGCTCAAAACTATAAGGGCTTTACTACAAATATTATTTTGTATCATAAAACGAAATTTAATGACAAATGATAATATCTTAAAATAAATGCTCATACACCAAAAAGTGATTAAAGAAGGAAAAAAAACAGGCGAAAAAATATACTTTTATATACTGTTATGTACCTCAATAATGCCGTTTTTTTTAATAAATCTTGTTTAATAGTACAAAAGGAAATGTATGTAAAAAATTTTATGATTTTGAGAATTCTTTTAAAAAGTTCAAAAACTACTTCCTAAAATTGCTTGAAAATTTTTAATTTTTTTAGGTAGTCAAATTGAATTTTTTTATTAGTTGCCGAATACGATTCACTACAAAATTAATATATATTTTTTACTTCTTCCCGCTCATACGCAATATAAAAGAACTACTCCAAATAACATTTATAATGAATTTTAAAATTTTCTAAAATTTTGTTTAGTTTCATTGAATATCCTTAGATTTACATCAAAAAAAGTAAGACAAAAAAAAATTCTTTTTTTTCTAAAAATGTCCATATCTCCATAAATATTTATGTTAGGCTTACGGAAGTCTGTGTAATAATTGCATATAATAACAAAAGTGACTGTAATAAAGTACAAATCTATTGATACATTTTTTGTCATAGGATGTTCAAAAACATTATTTTCCGCTTGCAATTTTTGGTCCCTTGAAACTCTAAAGGTTTCAAACTTCATTGATGTGTATGAGAAATTGCATGATAAAAACATTTCTGAAGATATAAAACATTTCGTTAAGTATTTCCGGAGAAATATGAAGAAAAAAATGCATCAATATACAAGTGTTTCCATTATTTTGTTCGACCCTTGTTTATCAGTCCTGACCTATTTTATGTTTTTCTTAATAGTTTTATTCATTTGTTTTCTGAGGAAAAGTAAAATCTTTGTAAGATAGAAAACAGAATTCTAACGTTTTTGATTGTTTTATCAGATGATTTCTTGATCATATGCAGGCATAATTATTATCCTTCAGTAAATGTGACAAAGCTTAATGTCAGATAGTTACAACTTTTAATTGGTAGACAAATGCATTTAAATTTTTCAAAAGTTTTATCTAGTACTCAGTTCTGTCTATGCATACAATTCGAAGAATACAAACTTTTGCACTTTTTAAAATGTAAAAGAATATTAATTAATTTTCGTGATATCGCGAAAAATTATCTTTGTCGGAAAATATTTAACAAGCGCTTTAGTAACTAATTATTAAATAGGAATTTGAAGGGAAATTTTGTGAACGAATTTTTAATTGAAACTAGGAAAAGAACTCCACGGAGAGAAAATATGGTAAAATTACCGTGTTTATGGTAATGACATTTCTAGTAAAAACATCATAATTCTGCTTAATAAAACTAAAATATACTGCATTTAAATAATTTGTTCTGTAATTTTTTCGTTCATATGGTTACGGTTAACGGGGAATTCTGGTTTTCAAAAGAATAGTTTTGATTACCATAAATTTAGTAAAAAATACAAAACTAAAAAATTGATGTAACCGAACAAATGGTTTTCATGCCACATGCTCTGAAATATTATGATTGGATCACTAAATGTTGCCCCACTTACCAAATTTCTTCACATATTATAAAACCATATTTTATTTCTTATTTTATCACAATCATTACCAAAGCAGTTCATTAAAAATTGCTGTGGTGCTTCCATTATGACAGAAACCCGATAAAATGTTCCATATTCTAGTAATTTTTACCATACGTCTTATTGCACAGTTGGTTTAAACCGTATCAAAAAGGAATCACAGACGTAATATGTGGCACCAAATCTTACAAATGCAATGAAAAATTTTGGAATCTTTCAGATAAATACTTTTTTAAATAAATGTAAGATTTTTTTTAAAAACAAAAATGACTGCGTAGTGATTGCGGGGTTCGGTGAATGAAGTGAAACTTAAAGGTATCGTAATATTATTAAAATACATTTTATTAGATAACACGCATTTTTATTTACTTCAAATAAACATATAGTTAAAAATTTTCAAATTGAACTGTTTACTAGATTCATTCTTTTTTTAGCAGAGTAAAATTGCTTTATGAGCTAAACTTTTAAATATTCTATTCGAGTACTAACAAATACTAACAATTATATAACTAAGATTTTACTTACAAAAGATAACAAAAAATACATATTTAACTATGTTTTCAAGGTTTATCATGAGTATTATAATTACACTAGCATAACAACGCTATTTTTTCGATATTAAGAGACACCTACCGCTGTTCATAGAAATGGTAAATTTTAACAACAATCCAAATTGTGTAGAATAAAAAGCTGAGCTGTATCATCAAAGTAATAAAAAGTCAGTAATTGTTTTACTAATTATCACCTTTGGGAAGTATAAAAAACATAATTGCCACGGAAACAAACGTGTCGCTCTAAAAACGTTTTTTTAATACTAACTTTACACGAAAAACATATTGAACACATCTTCCCTTCATATTTGGATCAACAGAGCTATAAGCTGCATTGCGTGACATAAGCTATGGGGCGGTTATAGTTTCTTGTAATTAGCGACAACGGGGCGTTGCCCTCTTTCACAACTATTACTCCCTACAGGAAAAGTAATAGAAATAAGTGTTTAGATGCAGGTGCATGCAAAGTCGATACCTTTGAAAAATATCTTTAAAAGAGTCTGTTGGCGATCCTTTTAATGCACTTTAGTCAATTTATACTTTCCTAC